ACAGGAAATCATGGAAAATGTCACTGCTGTAACCAAAGAAAGGGGGAGTGTTGTATGGATGATGGGTAAACTATTGGTAACTTCTATTACCAGTCAGATACATTGTGGAAAGCAAATGCCCTGTCTTGCCCTAAGATTAGTGCTGTTGAACAACAGACCATTAATTTTATCAAGTTCATGCCATGATATGGGAAGAATATTTATTCCCCTTATTTTGGAAATTATTTTGCTCACAATTACATTTGAATTCTCTTCCTTTGACTTTCAGTGTTAACATCTTCCACTGCCTCTAGCATGAAGCAACGGCATAACCGACACATACCAAGATCTGAAGATACTGAACTGTGCTATAGCCTTCATATCACAAATGGATGTTGCTTTAAGTGTCATCAACATTGCCTCCCACTTTGCATACCATAGACATAAGGCAGTCAGGAGGGCTCTAAATCACATGAACCATTTGCAGTACAGAAAGTAAGGCCAAAGACTTTAAAACATATTTTTAGAAGAAGAGGTTCCCCGTATCTAACCAGGTTCTTCTCTGGACTATTACTTTATCCTTGTTTTCCTTCATATTTTGGAAAAGTTTATTTTGGATTACTAGTGGCTGGCTGGAAAACTTTGAGCATTGCAGGTCAAAAGTAGTTTTTCCAAACTCTACTTCTACTCTATTTTTGCTTATCTACAGTACCTGGTATAATCCATGTCATATTCCGTTCAAGGTCTGCATTTCCTACCTTATCCTTTGATTTTTATCATGTCTTTAGATGATGGCCCAAATCTATTTATTAGTCCCATCTATAATAGGCCTGCTTAATTTACTGTTGAATGGTAACTCAAAATTTATGATAATTCCCACAGTTTGAATGGCTGGAATCCAGCAGTAAGTCACAACTAGAGTAGGCCTATTGAATCAGTGAGAATGTAGTGAATCAACTCCTGTAAGTTCCACTGATTCAATGGACTTACTCTAGTGACTTACTACTGAATTTCACCAATGAGACTCTTCTTGTTGGGACTAGCAATTGGATTTAGACAAAAGTAGAGTAGGCCTATTGAATCAGTGAGAATGTCATGAATCAACTCCTGCAAGTTCCATTGATTCAATGGACCTACTCTAGTGACTTACTACTGAATTTCACCAATGAGACTCTTCTTGTTGGGACTAGCAATTGGATTTAGACAAAAGACCTTAAGTTTGCCAAAGGTCACTCCCTGTTTCCCATGTGTCAGCCCCAAAATTTACTTGATCCAGTTTGCACATTGGCTCATAAGCTGAAACTAATGGCTGTAGATAGAAACGAATCAAGATTCCATCTTGAGAAGGGAAAAACAAAAACAGAAAGCAAAAAACCCCACACACCATGAATTAAAAGAGAAAATTGAGAGTGTGAAAAGAAACTTCTTGTCTGGATAAGAGGAAGGTATGATCAACAAAAGTCTTCATTATTATTTATACTTCTTAAAAAGCATAAATGAGTCCACTTATCAGGAGAAAGGCAGCCTACAAATAACACTAACTAAAGGTTTGTGCTCAGATTGACAACTGCAACAGCAGTAATTCTAACTCCATGTGACTCCTTCCATAGTTTTGACTTTGGGAGTCCAAGAATAATTATTATGCCAAAAATTTGAGTAGTTTTGGACTCAGACATTGTGAGCCATCTTGGCAAAGGCTGTCCAGAGTAATACAAAAGTTAACTTGAAAGGATGAAACAACAACCCAAAAATGTAAACTGCCCTTTCATGCTTATGTTGCCATTGTAAATTACTCTCCACTTTTCTATGAAAAATTCTACCATGGGAGTGTAGAGCTGGCCTGCTGGTCAGTCTCACCAGTTACTGTCATTCTTGATAAATAAACCCTGTGGTGGAGACCTTAACAACTCAGCACTACAACATGTGAATGGTGGCTGTGAAGTTGAGGTGAGCCCTGCAATTCATCAGCTGAGAAGATTTTGTTATGTTTTGTTATGTTGTACAGAAGGCCTTTCTTCTTTACTTCTGAGCCACCAAGCCAGACACATATCAACAACATATCTTGTTCTCAGAAAGGCTTGACAACACTCTTGTGTTCGTAGTCTCTAGGGAAGCTGAAGACCAGAGACAGGACTTAAAAAAACAACACTACCACCTGTAGCTTGTTAAACTTTTAAGCATAAAAAAATTCACATTTTTTAAAAATAGCAAATATGTATTTGCCCTCATGTTAAAAAATCCCAGCCTGAGTTTCAAACTGTTTATACCAGAAGTTTAAGAAGGTAGCAGAGCAGTCATGAAGCATCAGTATGAAAGTGTCTGAACCAGAGTTTGAAAGTAACATGCAACAGCCAATGATGTTACCTGTGAAACATTACTTCTTGGGGTAACAAGGCATAATGATGTTCCTTTTGCAAATTATTATTATTATTATTA